AACGAGAGGCATATTTTGTTGAAAGGGGCACATTCTTTTGGTGGAAAACACGTTGCATCAGCGTATTTAGCACACTATCCTTCATTTTCCGTCACAGAGTCGGAAACAATGCAGATTCCGTTTAATATTCATGCGACGTATCCTGTAGACACCATCGGACACGGGCCATAGGCGTGTATTCAATAATCGGCTGAATAATGAAGGAATGGTTCGCATCTGATTCGATGATACATTCACCAACAATCGGCAATGTCAGGGCACTCATTAATTAATGAATTCACACGCACAGTTGAAAAAAATCTAACTTAAAACAACTTTGTTTACCCCATCTCCACTGCAAGAGTTTATAACGGTATATCAGAGCCACTTTCCCTACTTTAATTTTATAATATTCATTAAATATTAGATAACAATAATCTAAGATTAATCGTAGAATGAAAATGCACAATTACATCCAGATAGTCTCAGTGCTATAGCGTGTACACTATGGACTGAAGTCGTTGACCCATAACACTGACCCATGGATCTACGAACTCACTGCGTATTTCACTTTGTATTATAAACTCGAATCCGACTACAATAGATACTGTATTTCTCTTTGTTTGGTATGTTCTTCAATAAACTCCCTATCATAAATCGAACGACAAGTTTACATTGAAAATGTTCAGGCATTAGGTTACAATGAAAATAGACCGCCGAGATCTCGCTGAGATCTTGCTGAGAGCAGGAGTCACAGGACTATTTACTATCTACGACTTCCTGAAAATCGGTCTACTGCCATCGCGTCTACAGTTCCCTTGACATGTAAAACCACTTTTGGAACCGCGAGCTGTGCAAGGTGATGGAAAACTTAACTCACTTGGCGAATCGACGCAATGAACGCACATCTGAAGTTCCTCACATATATTTCAGCTTTATTACTACCCCTTCTCCACTGTCGGGTCACCAACTTCAATTATATCCCTATACATTTTTATAAGCATACGATTGTATAGGAGCAATATCAATACGTCATTATTCAATGACTTCAAACCACAGCCTTGCACAGGACTGGTCGCGATAATAATACAGACAGTATATACAATATATGCTTATAATACGACCGAATATACGCCTCAAACATATAGGCTGTTGACAACATGTGACCTCATAATATTGGCCACTTAGTGCCGACAGCCCACAAGTTGGAGTAACTCGTTTGCCTACGTGCTTCCCGTGGTTTCCCCACAAACAGTGCAGTAACAACTGTGTTTGGGAGTAACAGGTCACGTTGCTCTCTCGCTCCAGATCACGACGGGCATGTGTGAATAAAACCATACAAGTTAACATTTATATTATAGTGATGATGTCATGGTTATGTAGATGAAAATGAATATGCTGACTAAGATGATCACCATGGCAATGAAATGATGATTATCACCACGGTGACAATGATGTTGATAAATATATGGCGATGTCACCTCACATCATATTACAATAATACAAACAAACTTTGAGTTACTAGTATGTAGCTGACCACATGTCAACATTTAATTTATATAAACTGTCATTCAGTCACACTTGGAGACACCTTTGTAACTTCAATTGTGGGCACGCTATCCTGGACGTGAACAATTGCAATCATGGAGCTAAAAACAAAGCTACATGGTTTAATTGGCGTGTAAGGACGCCGACACACTGGCAACCAAAAGTACCACTTAGCGGTAATTGCGTTGTGTGGTCGTTGAGATTTTAATTAGTAAATCGCCAAGTATCATGCAATATACGCGATTTCGAACTTTTGTATGTAGACATGCAACATCAAATTGTGATTTTTTCTGACTTAAAGTCACAAATTCTAAAGTACCACTGCAGAATAAGCTAAGCAAATGAATGAAATATATTAAAAGTAGATATCCTGTCCATTTTGTTCTGAAGGTACTTGAGGGTCTTATCCTTTACAACGTAACTACCCTACAAGGACAAACAACGACTAGTAACTCAGTGAGTGTCTATTCTCATTACAAACCCACAATATCAACATTTAATGGTGTATTGATCAGGGGATGGTACCTCACAAATTTGCAAAGTGGGAATGCAACTTCGAATTAAGCATAATCTTTTTGTTTCTCATTTTACAACAGATATGTTTCAACATTGCCTTTTGGTAGTTGTTGCTGACTCATGCCTTCAATTGGAGTGAAGATATTTCGTTTTTAATTGTAAGGATGGACGACACGGTTGTAATAAACAAGTATTTAAATAATCCAATAAAACAATTGAAACACTGTATTGTTTAACGGCATGACATTGTCGTGACCTTGACACACAACATAGTACGAACAGGAAAGTTTGCATGGTGACCTTTCGTGTCGACATACTTACATAAATATCCGCAACAGGCAAATAATCAATGATAAACGTAAGTCTACGAATACAGTTTTATCAGTTCTAAACACCCCCCCCCCAAAAAAAAACGCTGAATATATTTACGTCAATTTTCAAAACATGAACATATAGTTGGAATCCAGTTCTTATAGTGCCTGCACTCAATCGCTGTGCATCACACTGACTAAACTTAATCACTGTGGACCACACATGCCTGACCCTGACCATATACTGCATCCAATCGCAGTGAATTCGAGCCGTGGATTCCGCACTGACTGAACCCAATCGATGCGGACTCCACATACTGCATCCAATCGCAGTGAATTCGAGCCGTGGATTCCGCACTGACTGAACCCAATCGATGCGGACTCCACATACTGCATCCAATCGCAGTGAATTCGAGCCGTGGATTCCGTTCGCAGTGGACTCTCTTTGGATTGAATTCGGGATTCAAACTCGAATATTTCGATTATCAGTGAATGTGAATCCGGATAGCAACATACCATAACGACGAAGTTAACAATAGCTTGAAATTAATACATATTACATTTCGTAAATTGGATTTGGTTACGATCGTTAATAATATTTAAATAATAGGCCAACCACCTATAACATAATTGATTTATTTACAGGAGATTTAGAATCTGTAGTCTAATGCATTCGATGACAATGAAATTGACATATACAACCATGAACATTGGCCTCGATTTAATAGTGGAATGCTGGGAAAAAAAAGCCTGACTGTGCATTTGCATATAAACATTGTTTCTACCTTGAATGTCAACCTCATTCGCGCTGCCTTAAATGTCGACCACAAAGCCACTACAGTTGGGGGCTTAAACTTACCACATTTTAATAATATCATGATACTTTTAAGCACCAGGAGTGGGGCAACTGGCGAATCCCGCCACTATCTTGTGAAATTCAATGAAACACGTTATATTGAAGGATCGCCCAATTGTTTTGATCTATCCTTGACGGGTTGGAATTTATTTATTACAGAATTAATACATGGTAGTCCTTGGATGCGTGTTTTAATGATTGTTTGAACTACGTATGAACCGGCACATTTTTTGCCGATACGAGTGCGCCATATTGACATCCAGGTTACCTCGAAAGGCTTACCTGTTCATTTTCTGCAGCCATTTAAATAAATTTACCCTGTTATTTTACAGTCAAGCGTTTGTTCGGTTTTCCTCCGACTTGCATGCACACATATATATGAGAGAAATAAAGCAAATAGATACGAGGTTACACAGTAAAATAAATCGACCAGACTCGAGATCTACAGCCGTATGGACGATTTGTAATTAAATGATTGCCCACCATAGCCGCCATGGTCACTGTGAGCGTACTTATGTTGGGTGATTTCGATTCTTTAATCATGATGGGCAATTTGCCATTTTCTTTTCTCGGAAAGTGTAGGGTGACTTTCTCCCCAGTAGTTTGTCTTCTGAATTGCTTTGTCTTGAACTTATATTCCAAATTACGTCATCACGCGTCGACTCGGCTAGTATTTGTAGAATGACTGTGGTAGGAGGATGAATAAAGTGATGAGCAAAATTCAGTGAATAACATTTTGCAACATCATCAAATCAGATAAAGGTATATTTTCATAAACGGTGAGCAAAATCTTCTCTTGAAACAGAGTAAGGATTTGCCGGGCCTTTTAAAACCAAGGGGAATCTTTTTCACATACAAAGGTACCCAGAAATTTCCCCCTTGTTTCAACATAGCGGCATATGTAGTAATACTACATTTAAAAAAGCTCATTTTCTATTAAATATAAATATTGAATAGCAGCTAATTTTTAACCTCCCAAATTGTGGTCCCTTATCTGTTTCCTGGGGAAATTTTGCTTACCATTGACGACAAGAATTTTTTTTACTGATCCAGCGAGCAAAATTTTGCTCACCGAATCATTGAACAGTCCCCCGCGGTAAATTTAACCAAATTTATGGCAATGCACAAAACACAAATTACAGTTCACAATATTTGTGCCACCCGCGTATCGCCAACATTCAGCCTCACCCATGATCCAATCCATCCATACACTGTCCCGGTAAACAATATTATAGTCATTGGATTTGTTTAAATACAACGTCCCTGGATTGAACCGCATAAACACATTTCATTATTATTCTTCAAAAAATTCTGGAACCCGGTCGCACGTCATAGAAAATAAGACCCAACCATATATTGTCACATACAACGAAATGGGAGGTATGGCGCCATTTATACAGGGACGGTTTGTGAACGAAACACAATCGAGATGGGTGCAAAACCAAACGACCGCTGATTTCAGGAACAATACTAAAATCCTAGAAATAGTGAACAAATCAGCTATATTTATCTAATCAGCTCACTATTCAGTATTAAATGGGTCGCTGCACACCTTTTCGCTGATTGCATCATGTAACGTGATCACCCCGTCGTGGTTGATAATATGAACTCGGCCTTACTATTTTAGGATACAATGAAATCGTTGACGTTTGCATTGCGCATGCGTGTATTATAAAGTCGTCCCTCTGTCAGCTGATCGACATAAACAACTCGGTTGAACTAGTGAGAACCAGTTTTTAGCTCGCGAGAACCGGGTATTGCGAAAGTGGGGAAAATATTTCAGTTGGCTTCTGCAATACTGTAGTGATGGCTTGCTCGAGGTCTTTGTCCTAAAATTTCTTATCTTAAAAAAAATAGCCAACATTTTTATCTGCGATTTTTGGATTGATTTCATTGCAGCCAGTCTGTCTAATCTCACATAGGCAGTGATGGCTAAGTGCAAAAGACACCATCATGTTACGTACAAAGCCCCAGATGGGGGCTTTGGATGGTTTGTGGTCGCCGCAATGTTCCTTGTCTTCATGCTAGTCGCTGGGGGATTTTTTTCCTTCGGTGTCCTCTACGTAGCGCTATTAGATGCATTTGGTGGAAGCCAGGCTGAAACAGGTAACATTATTTATATTTTGTATTTAATGATCACATTTGCGGAGTTTTGTACTCATTTTTTTTTTTTAAATATTAAAAAGCCCTCTCCCCAATATATATATATTTATCGGTCTCCAACTTGAGGAGTTTTGAATGTTTAGTATTTTGAAGCTGTTCAGCGATAACAGCTGGTCAATATTGCCATTTAAACAATTTTGGTACGAAATACAATGAGATATAGTGCTCTTTGTGTTAGTTTGTACGCAGTGAAAATTTTCTGAAAAATCCACTTCTATCGAGGTAAGGAAACACATCGTTTGGTTTGGTGGAGGGATATTTTTTATAACATTATATAAAACATATCATGTGTACTCTGTGTAGAATTGTTCGGGTCATTCATTCATTTAGTCAGCCACCATAGCGGCAATCGGTAGTTTTTCTTACCGGCGCAACTCCACAATCAGCTGTTCTAGCTCAGCTGATGAACCTATAAAATGGCACAATAAGGACTCCCATTGATTACACTTACTGAGTCTGCGCAGTTAAAGTTCGCACACAATAGGTTTTCACCCCCAGCAGTGCAACTGGTTACTGTAAAATACTTTATTTTCGCTTGGAATTAATTTTCGCTATTTTCGCTGAAAGAATGATTCAGTGAAAATAAAATCCAGCGAATATACCTTTTTTCTATACTTTACATTCAACTTCTCAAAAATCAGTGAAAATATATTCCATACAAAACACCAATAAAGTCTTTTCAGCGAAAATTAATTCCAGCTAAAATAAAGTATTTCACAGTACCCTATCGTCTCCACTCAAAACAATGTACATGTATATCCAATTTTGCGGCGCGAATCTTTGCCATTCTTCTGTTTTTCTCTCTCTTTCTATCTCTCTCTAGTGTCCCCTTTTCCAATGTGTGTGATATTTAGTTTAATGAACATAAATTTAATTATTATAGCATAGATTTCATACGGGGTTTGTCGATCAACAGTGTTGTACTATTACTAATAGTGGGGTCACAATCCCGGGCTGTCACTTTACTGTATATATTGTATAGTAATAAGTTGCCGAATAATTTATATTTTTGTCGGAGATAAGAAGTGTCTGTAAGTGTATTGTTTCAATGCGATAATCGTTTTTAAATCGTTTTTATCGATAGCCTTTGACCATACGATAACTTGAAGCATGAAGGATCACATTTGTTAGTGTCTCTGGCAACGTAAAACATGTCAAATCACAAAATCCATAACAGTACATTGTTCTTTAATATTTTATTTGCACGTAGTACATATAAATTTGATAGTTCCTACCTGGTAAAGCCTAAAAACGCTGTCACAACTGTCATACTTTTGGCACTACGTTTCAACAAAGCCAACCATTCGTCAGACTGAACCATTTTTACTTGGTGGGTGGTTTGCGAATCCGGGTGTGGGTGAAATTTAAATATAGAAAGCTCATTTATGTCTTTTTCTGAACAGGAGTTCAACGCCGTGGTGATTTGCTGTTTATTGATGTGACCATCATGGATATTTATGGTATTCATCCTATACCAAATTCATTGTGCTATATGTGGAACAACATAAATAAAACTTAACATTTTCACCACCAGTTCCCTCTTTTCATCACAAATTGACAAAATAGTCTCACATATAGTCTGCAATTTTCTTCAGAAGATTGAGTCAAAAATAGCCAAGTTTTTTTGAGTAAATACTGAAAATTGATTTAATTTTCTTTTGTTGGCTCCAAAATTAGAGTTCATTTCAAGTCTGGTGGTGAAAATGTAATATTTTGGGGTGCTTTTGAACATTCCAGTATTTTCAATTGTCAGTGTTTATTTATGGATGACAACATAAATTGCAATAATTTCTTAAAACTTTAATAATGTTTTTTGTTTTGTTGATCCAATTAGCACATTTTCTTATAGTTTTTAACACTTAGATAAAATGTAGAGATTTCTTGCCAGTGAATTTACTGTTCTGGAGTATTAACATTCAATTAACACATCAACCGATGAATTACATTTACATGCTGTAACCTTGTATTTGAGGAGGACTTAATAGAGTGCTTAAGTGATTCAATTGTTCAAGGTCAAGGGTGTATTTGGGATTTAAAAAATCTGATGAAAAAAGATTGTCTAGGATCTATCATAATTAATGGTATCCAAAAATAAATTAACTGTTCATAGAGTCATAGCTATAACAGATTATTTCACTATTATAGGGCTTGACTGCAGCCCAGGGGGAGCAGTTGTCAATAATTTCAAGCAACCTGAAATCAATGCTATAAGTACTAAAGTTTGATCACAGTGTAAAAATAACATGGAACCAAATAATGTAAGTATTTAAAAATCAGCGAAGATGGAAACAGGTATGCCTAAATCTACTTTCAGTTGTGTGCAATTCCACAATTATTCTGACTTTCAGTCATGTTTTTTAGCTTCTTGTCGCTGTCAAAGTGGGCTGTTTGGTCACGGACGGTGGTCTTTTACTCTGGCTTGCACTGCTCAATTAAAATGTCTTGCATCATATGTATGTAGGACAAGGTATGATTATGATCTTCATTTCTATAAAAGAGTATCAATATTGTAAAAAAACACCTGTTGCCATGGGGGCAAATAGTAATGTAACATTTTACCTTATTTCTGTTGCATTTTTCAGGATCAAACTCTTATGTAATGTAACAATTTATGAATATATTGATGTTCACTTTTATACATGTCTAACTTATTGTATATGTTTGTGTTTTCCTACTGCGCGATCACCCTTTAATCATGCCAAGTGACATGCATTATTGGTTCTGATAAAATACCATGTTCTCACACTTTATTACATTCACACTCATTTCACCATTTGTATTTCATTCAAGTATTAGTATCCCATGATGCATCTTCAGTTATTTTTCCCCCATACATGTTGACTGATGACAACACGGTAGGTTTGATTTAATATTATCATCAATTGTTGTGATGTGTTTACTTTGTGGAACTACTATTTTGCAAGTTTTGTCTTTTAAAACTAATATGTTAATGTAGTTCCTCTAAGTAAATACACTGTCTCTTCTGATGATATTTTCCCGATCATTTAAACTTCTTTGTTCCTTCTGTCCCCCCAGCTTGGGTAGGTTCTTTGGTCCTTATGGTTACTGTTTTAACTAATTCATTCTCTGCTTATCTGGCTGAGAGATTTGGTCACCGACGAATTGCTATGATTGGAGGTATCATATCTTCTGTAGCTCTGATGGCGAGTTCATTCGCTACAAGTCTGTCACAGCTCTACCTGAGCTATGGAGTTCTGTTAGGTAAGTTCCACCAAGCAATTCACATATTTTGTCTATTGATAGTTCCATGTAATAAATAACAAAACATTGTCTATATAATATGGTATTTATAATAATTTAATGTTATAATTATTTCTGTAACTTTTTCAGATTCACCAAAACATCATGGATCATTTAAAATGTCAATATTTGTAATTATGTTATTTGTATATATATTTTATAGTTACTTTTTTTTATATCAAGGAGCCATGTTATTTATTGTGTTTTGCCATCTACTCTCAATATTTAATATGTCAAGTATTCAATCTATAATTTTTTTCTATTTTTATTTTGTTTTTCATTTACAGGAATAGGTTACAGTTTTGTTCATCTTCCCTCCTACGTGATGGTCGCTAGGTACTTCCATAAGAGACTTTCTATTGCTATGGGTATAGCATTGGCAGGCACAGGAATCGGACAATGTGTTATGGCATTCATTTTGCAAACTCTCGTAGATATGTACGGCTGGCGAGCGACTTTCATGATTTTGAGTGGGCTCACATTGAATTTGTGTGTGGCTGCTGCCCTCTTACGTCCCCTCACACCGATCGTGAAGAAAAAGAAGAAGAAGAGTAAGAATCCAAACGAATGTGACTTCTGTGAAGAAATGGAGAAAGAACCAACAGAGAAAGAGGAACTGATGAAAGTTAATGGTGATAATTATTACCGAAATACCAAGAATACGTGGCGGCCTGAAATTCGAGTAGAATTGGTAGACGATGTGAAAACAAATACTGTTATTAATAAAAACAATAATAATAGTCAGCAATATCAACAGTTTTCCCCAAATGATGTTTGGCGCCATCATAGTATTAGTAGTGAGTCATCATCTGAAGATGAAGACGAAACATTTGCACAGTCTACGTTATTGGCAATGGCTGGTTTGTCTTACGGGTCTGGATTCCTTTGGATGCCACACAATTACGCTGAATCAACTGAGAGTGAGGGTTCCGATGATGTCATACAACCAGCTGCTCAGGAAGAAATTCCTGCACAACCTGAAATACTGGCGGAGAAACCAAAATGGAACATTTCCAGTTGTTTTGAGAAGTTTAAAAAGAGACTGAAGAAGAGCCTGAAAGTGATCAATCGAGTGATGGATTTCTCTTTGTGGAAACAACCTGTGTTCGTTGTAATACAACTATGTTTCTTGTTCCATTACAGCGGTCATGCTATTGTTACATCACATTTGGTAAGTAGGAAAATTAATCACATTTAAAGAAATCATCCACACTCACTCACTCACTCACTCACTCACTCACTCCCTCATTCATTGTTTTAGCACAATTTTAGCGTAAGAAACGATTTTATTGGATTTTTCTCTCTTTTTCAATCGTCTGGTACTCAGCCAGTACGTCATAGGTAGCAGCTAGGTGAATTTTCCAACTGTATATTGTCTTCTGAACCGTGCATTCCAAGAAAATAGTACTCCCCCCCAAAGATTCCACAAGACTACCACAAGAGGGTGCTAGAGGGTTCTCGACCCGGCACACAGTAAAGCTTGATCAGCAATCCCCCTAGACTTGAGTATCGTGCACAACATAGAAGAACAGCGCCACTGAGCTGTGCCCCCAGTTGACGATGAAGTCTCCACCTTGCGGTCCCCTTTATTTATCATACGAGCACATGGTCTGGTCTAATCACTGGGTGTAATGGTACCTTCTTTGAGGTAAAATATTGAAGACACAAAAAAAAAATTATAGGACAAGATAGAAACTGTTTTCTATCTGAAGAACTTCGCGTGTGAACCAACGATACAGAGATCAACGTAGATGCCAATAGAAGTAGTCTGCAATTGACGTCTGTTATAGATGATGTCTTCACTAGGTGATTTTCCGCTCACTGCAATATCTCTTGTATTGTGTGAAAAGTGTGTGAGAATGACCATCATCAAATGCACACATTAATAATCATGAAAATACCCTCAAACTACTTTCGCGTTTGTCCACTACAATGCTATTACCCTTTTTTGTCCTGTTTCTACGTTTGATTTCACGCACAATGTGGGATCGGGCAATGAACGGAAAATGGTCCCATTCACATAATGATTATTCATATGATATATCATGGAAACATCCTTAGTAATTACAATCATTTCATGTATTAATGATATCAACATAAGAATTACCGATTCAATAGTGTGATTTAACTGTACTTGTGAACACTTCTAACAGTTTTCTTATTCTTATTTCTCCTTAGATGTTCCCCCTTCCCCTTTTTCATTCTTATTCAAAATTCTTATATTTTTTGTTTTGTTTGAATTTGTATATTTCAGGTGAAGCGTGCACGTGACTATGGTCTACCGGATATCCAGGGTTCCATGCTTGTGGCATTCATGGGAATAACACAAAGCATTGGACGTATTATGTTTGGTTGTTTGGGCAATTTACGTTGTGCCAGTCCAGTTCTGATCTACAGTATATCCACCTTAATATGTGGCATATGTGCCATTGCCAGCGTATACCTATTCAGCTATGCAGGTATGAAAGTAACAAATCTCTATAATAATAGTTTGTAAATACTCCAATCAGCAACATCAAAAATGATATTTTCTGAAATGAAATTTCAATTGTATTATGTCATGCATTAGAATTTACATTGTTTGGTATTGTATTATATTATACACTGGAATATTTGTGTGTCAATGTATACACATGTTAAATATATTGTTAATCACTGTGTTTTCAATTTCACCATTTTTGTTGATAAGTAAAATTTACTAAATTACATCTATGTGTACAGGTAAAATTACAATAAAACTGCGTGAGTTTAATGGAAACTATGTGAATGTAAAACTGAGTGAATATGACCAAATTTCAAAGTTTTGAAATTAAATGCCAGTTAAAAATAATGCTTAGTTGTTTAATATTTTACAATTGCATATTGCTTATGGCTTTATTTCCACTTCCAGGTCAAATGGTTGCTGCCACTGTCTTTGGTTTGTTCATGGGTTCCTATATTACAATGATCCCAGTGATTTGCACAAAGTACTTTGGACCTGAGAATTTTCGTACAACATCTGCATTCTCTTTCCAACTACAGGGTGTTGGTCATGTGATTGGATCCCCACTGGGTGGTAAGTATAACTGTCCTATGCTCATTATAGATGGCACTGAATCACAGGGTAACTTAGTCGGCTCCATTAGGTGAAAGAACCTTATAAAACAAGATTTTGCTTTTTTTCCCAGTCATGCAGGTATCAAAACCTTTCGCTTTGCAAAGAAACTTAGAGGATCTCATTTTACAGCAAGAGGTTAAAAGATATAAACGAAACTTGGCGGGGGCTCATCATCCAGCTTTTTTTTCTAGCACTCGATTGTGTATTTATATTTAAGGGCTAAACCATAAATTTAAAATACAAAAATTGCATGAAAAAACTACTGGTAAGAAAAAAAAGAAGAGACGTTGTATTTTTTATAACAAATAATTAACAATCAGCCCCATAAATGAAAACATTATCATTACAGAAATTTAACCAATTCACGTATCCCTCGCAGAAATAATACTTCATCCCTAACCATCTATGTTTACTGAATATATCTTTGTTTGCTTCTTTTGTAGGTTGGATGAGAGATATCAGTGGTGTTTATGACAGTGCCTTTATCTTGAGTGGTGTCTCGCTAATAATGGCCTCTTTCCTGATTCTTCTTGTACCTCATGTGAGTGCCAAAACTCAACACAAGTCTCCCAAGAAAACAAAAGGTCATCACCTTCATCACTCCCACCATGATTACAAAACAGATGAAGAGATTGATTCAGAAATCTTGCAACTAATCATCACCACCGTGTAAATGAAGTGTATTAGATGAAACTTCCAAAGTCACAGATATATGGAAAAGTTTGGTAATCGTTTAGTGTGAATCGGTCAAGTTTTTTCAGCGAACAGTCTTGCGTACTTGCTTGAATTTAAACTCAATGAATAGTGTGCTGGTTAAATCAACCAATTTACTGCCGATTGTCTATAAATGTACTGACAATTATAAAGTTATTATCACAATAACAATGTTTATTTATGTATATTGAGACTATTTATGCATCTCAATTTGAAAAATGGATTTTTTAAGTACTGTACTCACTTGTGTTGTGTTATACAGAGGATTACTATATGCTCTGAAATATACGGAATTTTGTTTTATTATATATCTGCTTGTCTCCCCGAAGGCTGGTCTGAGTTGCCTCAAAATTTACATTCATTTATGTGCTTTTTCAGACATTAGGATATTTGCTGTTTTCAATAAAGATATACAATGATTTACAGCTAAGTCCAGCAAAGCTTTAAATTTACTTCTTTTAGTCCTTGGTCTATACAATATTTTATTATATATATATGCTCTAGCATTTTATTTAATGTCATAGCTTCTTACTTTATATTCTATCAAGTCAGCAGCCATTTTAAAATAAATAAATCTGGGTGGTGGTATTTTGTAATATTTTTTGATTTGTACATTAACTGGCCAGTTTTTTATATAAAAATATGATAAAAAACTCTTAATATTTACATGCTTTTGGGGATTTTCAATTATTTTAAAATGGCTGCCTTCCTATTTTCTTGTATTACTTGTTTAGAAAAGTGTAGTTTGTTCTTATATTTGCACAGAGTACATACAAACTATATTATTTAATTTTTAGTAAAATTTTATCATAGAAACGATTTATGAATGATTTATTTCATTACGTTATTGAATTGAAAGTAATTTTCTGATGTCAAATTATGTTTTTGTCATCAGTACTTTCCCAACGAATTAATTAATAATAATTATTAATTAATAATATAAAAGATGCTTACTAGATGTGCTTAATATTTATTAATATCTGAGTCAAAATGCTGGATAAAAACTGTCAGATTTTAAAATTTAATGGCGCAAATATTTGCATAGTTTTTAAGCATATGCTGTTGCTGCCACGTATTTTGTTATTTGTATACTGCCTGATGGACTCAGTTTTGGTTTAGTGAAGGTGGTGTTGTTACATTTATGTATCTTTTGAAAATGTCAGGAGCATTATAATACTTGATACCTCAAATCAAAAGACTGTTATAGCAATGTAAACCTTACATTTAGGACCAATTTTGAAGATATAAAGAAAAAATAATTTCGAAACAAATCTTTCAAATCCAGTGAAGGGGTGACATATTTTCTTTTGTCTTTACCTGTGCCCAACACTTATCAGTCACATGACCAATCACATGACAGACTGAGGCTTGTTATGTGCAGCTGAAATATTTGCGTTATTTTTGTCACTACCATATTATATATTTTTGTGTATGACAAAAGTTTGAACGAGATACGATATTGCAATGTGAGTTACACAGGTCTCAGTTTTATGTTGTACCCGTGTCAACCTTTTCATAAGAAACTTTATTATTACTTCTGGTATGTATGTAGTATGTATGGAAATAAACTGTATGTATATTTGAATATTATCAGTTTGTGTTTTTTTTTTCTTTACTCAATATTAAAAACAAAGAAATAAAAGATTGAAACGATTGTATTTTTAAAGTCGTTAACATTTTCCTGCCACATACTGAGTATGGATAGGACACATTCTCCCAGTTAACACACTATAGGACACCATGCATGTTTGCTTCCGTTCGTTGTCTAGGGTTGTGGGCAAGAAGATGACAAAACTCAGAAAGTGTGTGGGTTCAAATTTAAGCAGAGGAAAGAGAAAACTCAAACTGTTTTTACGTCTGAGACTGTTCTCTTTTTGTTCACCTGAGCTTCCCTTTTCATTATTGTCAAAAAGATAACGATAGTTCTGACGTGCAAGACAGAAAATATTTCATTTCTGGTGTATTAAACAATATTGCAGTTCTTACATAATAGTAGACGTGGTGGTCAGATTGTTTGTTTGAAATGTTTAACACTATTTATTCCTTATAACCAATTCCTTCTGGTTGAAAATGCTTTAGACACTTTGGTTTCAACATGGATGTACTATAACATGGTTCATTTCAAAGTGTAGCAATCCATTACATTATATGACACAATTTGTCAAAAGAGGGCGCTGTATGGCAGCGAAATAAGGGGAAAAAAGAAAGGCCCGCACTTGTTTAATGGCGTGCAAACATTATATACTAATAAGCAATTACCCGCTCATATATTTTTTAATTATGTTTTTAATTCCCAAATGCAATTATTGTGTTTCCAATTTCATTTCAAAGTATTGAAGCAAACCCACGAACGCAACTATTACACTGTAATAAATGACAAACTCAGTAATACCAGGACACTTATCTATAAATAAACTTCGAATCGACCTGTTTTTCGGTGTTTTATTTTTTTAGTATAAACATAGATGTAGAATATATTGAAAAGTATGCGTCGCCAAATACTAGTCAAAGGAAGACGGTGGCATACTTATCATGTAATTACACTCATGATGAGAACGGCTGTCCCTGGTCTGTCCCGCGGTAAGGGTCACTATACTAATAGAAGCCTACCAACGGGCATGCGTTAGTCTATAAATTATGTTTCAAAATGGGAAAGGGGTCTCTTTTGACATTTTAAAGGGTCACGAGGTCTTATTTTGGGATCTGAAAGTATACTGACCCTGTGGCCAATGGCATGCAGAAGTAGCAGTAACATTGCAACATTGCGTATCCCTGATCAAAGGCGTGCACAATGTTAGAAATAACGCGATTGTGGCCACAGTCAGCTGGCGCACAAATTATAATAAAATAAATGCGATATTTACTATATAGGGATCACCATGAATACGGCATCACGATGAAACTAAATAAAGATACAAGTTTTGAAACGCGTTTTTTCAGATTCCTACCAGTCAGGGAAACGGCAGAATTCATCGTTTTTTGCATACAAAAACACTTTCCTGGGGTATTTGAAACCGAAATTGTCATCTAACTGTAACGTCGTCGCCGATTGGCTGCTGAGTTGGTATGAAAATTTTGGGTTTCAAAGACCCGGTTTTGCATTTTGCCCGCATCTTTTTACAATTCTGAAACCCAAACAATACAACAACGGCCGGCCTTGGGAGAATATTGGTGCATTATGTTTAAAATAAAACCCATCAACAAATATAGTGCTTATAAATATTGTGTCTCCAATTCGACGTGAAACGAGCACAATGTAAGCTCATTGAGTGTTAAAATGATACAAACAACACTGTAGTTAGTATGTAGCCTCATGCAGCAATTATCTAACATTTACAAATGTTGTGAAATATAGTTGTTTACAATTGGCATGAATTTCCATATTGTGACGTCATCTTATCGAACATTAATGTAAATGGAATAAATAACTTGCATAATAAGCTTTCCATTGATACTAAACACAATTGCGATAATAAGTGTAAATTTACAATTTTTTACAGATAATAAGATTCCTATATCTGAAAATCAACAGAAAAACGCTTCGTTTTTAAAAAAATAATACAGGACACAAGTATATGCGAGGTTTTGGAACATTTTGCAAATAAAATGCGCCTTTTGGTTGACCTAATACATCATCTCTCCATTGTTCACAAACGTCATTACGATGTTTCACACCCCAAAAATAGCAACTTGAGGCAGTACAGTACATTATGCACAGACGCACCACTCAACACACTCAATAAATGATTAGTAAATTAAACTGTAATTTAAATATTGTATTTTCCGTGATTTTAAGTGCATTTCTTTTTTTATGATGAATGTTTTCTTAACTTGTAACAATTGTGTAGTTTGACGGGTTATAACGCAAAATAAAGACAGCATGACGTCATCACGTCATATCCTATGAGTACCTGGCCAAAACGATTATTTATGTAAGTACTTAGCCAACTTTACTGGATTGTATTAAAAACTCATACTTAATTAGTGAGCCAATTAGTGAGTGAGTGTCATCACTTATAAAATAATTTGACAGATGACAACTAATTTCCAGCCATATGACAGAAGATAGGGCCGACTGAGAATCGAGTGTTACGGAAAACAGGTTCTGTCATTATAACAATTATACGTCATGCTTCATGCTTTTGTCATCATTCTCAAAATATGTAAATTACCACGCATGCGCCATGTTTTAACATCACTGCGCATGCGATCTTTCTAATTTAGATTATGTAGACATAAATTAAAATATGAATGAACATGGACAATAAAAACAGTGAATGGACGAAGGTAAAAAATAGGAGAAAAGGAGATGGCACGGGAGACTCGGGTAACTTGATTCCCAAAACATTCACCCTTCTTATTACCAGGGGAATATTCTTTTCTAATGACTTTGTTATCACTAGATTACGTAATATGTAGTAACTTGGACAGCAATGCATAATTGGAATTCCACTCGAATTGTCGTAAAATATCAAAGATAATAAGTCCTACGTTAATTATGAAATAAAAACACAAACATACACGATTCAAAACTGACACGATAATGATAATATAATTTATTTGTTAGTGACGTAATGATGATTATATCAATGGTAATATTATATATGAATAGACGTATACAACGAGTGCGAATATTGTATTCTCTACCGCACACTTTTCAACTCCGTCGTGGAAGTCTATCAAACTTTCACGCGCTGAGGAAACCGCGATGAAACACGTGAGTGAAATGAGAATCGCGAATTTATGTTAGTCTTCGGTGACGTTGTGCTTTCAAATTTTAGAATAATGGCATTGATATTTGTTTAATAATATTTGAAAGTTGTGATCTGAAATGAATGCGAACGGTCGAGAATAAACGGGTCTCGTGTGCCCTGTGCCCTCTATCGGCGATTGTTCAAGTTGAAATTGTCGAAAGAGGGCACTGCAC